TTATAGGGTTGACGCTATGGCTAGGGTTAGAGTTATAGGGTTGACACTATGGCTAGGGGTGAGACTCATAGGCTTGACTCCACGGCTTCCACGAAGCAACTCGCCACCACGACAAGTCCCCCCCGGCCTCACCGAAGTGTGGCAGGTTCTCCAGGTACTTCTGCAGCGCGAAGATGAGGTTCCAGCCGGGCAGGAAAACGAGGATGGCGCCGTGCACGCTGAGCGTGCCGATGTAGCGGATCAGCGCCTCCACCAGCTCGAAGGACAGCTCCTTCTCGCTGAGCTGCACCATCGCGCGCTTAGTAGCCTCCGAGTAGCCGGCGGCGCAAATCTGGTTGCAGTTCACCTGAGTCCGGGGTCGGGGGGTCGGGGGGTCGGGGGGTTAGGCGGCGGCGGTGGCGAGTCTCGGCTTAACACGCTGTGGCGAGGCGGAAAGCCCGTGTCGGGCCGTGAGCGGGAATCGGATTTGGGGGCGCCGGGTTCGTAGCGCGCCGCGCTCACCGCTGCACCGCCGCTCCCCGCGCACAAACAAACGCACCCACGCGCAGACACACGCACGCACACACCCAGACACACACGCGCACCCACACACACGCATCCACACACACGCACACACGCACCCACACACACACGCACACACGCACCCACACACACGCACCCACACACACGCACACGCACCCACACACACACACCCACCCACACACACGCACACACGCACACGCACCCACACACACGCACCCACACACACGCATCCACACACACGCACCCACACACACACACCCACACACACACGCACACACACACACACACACGCACACACACGCACCCACACACACACACGCACCCACACACACACACGCACTCAGGCGTGCGAGCGAACTCGCACCTCCTCGTCAGTTCCACCGCCGTCGTCGTCCCGGTCCTTCTTGCGCTTGTCCGGAGGGGGCGGTACGAAGTTCGTCATCTGGATGCAGTCCTCCAGCAGGTACTCTGCCGCCAGTAGGGAGCCGTCCCGGAGCGGCGGGGGGGGGGGAGGGGGGCAAATCACACTTCACACCACGTGACCCCACCACCCACCCCCATCCTCCCCACCCTCCCCCACCCTCCCCACCCTCCCCCACCCTCCCCCACCCTCCCCACCCACCCCCACCCACCCCCACCCTCCCCACCCTCCCCACCCTCCCCACCCACCCCACCCTCCCCACCCACCCCCACCCACCCCCACCCTCCCCCACCCACCCCATCCTCCCCACCCACCCCCACCCTCCCCACCCACCCCACCCACCCCCACCCTCCCCACCCTCCCCACCCACCCCCACCCTCCCCACCCACCCCCACCCTCCCCCACCCTCCCCCACCCACCCCCACCCTCCCCACCCACCCCCACCCTCCCCCACCCACCCCCATCCTCCCCACCCACCCCCACCCTCCCCACCCACCCCACCCACCCTCCCCACCCTCCCACCCACCCCACCCTCCTCCCCACCCACCCCCACCCTCCCCCACCCTCCCCACCCACCCCCACCCTCCCCACCCTCCCTACCCTCCCCCACCCACCCCCCACCCTCCTCCCCACCCACCCCCACCACCGCCCCGACCCCGACGACTTCAAACTAAACCGGAAGTGTGACGTCCGTCACCGTTGACGACGTCAGAGGGCGCGGGGTGGGGTGGGGGGGGGGAGGTTCGTCGAGCCCCCACCCCCCTAAAAGCAAAGGGGGACCCGGAGGCCGTCGCCCCCCAATTCGTCGTGGTGGGGGTGAGGGGCGAGGTGGGGGAGGCGAGGTGGGGGGGGCGAGGTGGGGGGGGAGGGCGAGAGGAGGGCAGGGGGGGCAGGAGGTGAACCACAACACCGCGGGGAGCTTGGGAGCCGACTGGGTTAGGGGGGAAACTCAGGCCTCAGGCTCGCGATAGGGAGACAGAGCTGGCCAGAGGCAGGGGGACGACTATTATCTATGGCTTACAAACACGGCTACACGGGGAGGAAGGGGGGGGGGATATTTGTCTTTGTGGCGGTGTGTGTGTGTGCGTGAGCGTGTGTGTGCGTGCGTGTGAGTGTGCGCGTGAGTGAGTGTGTGTGCGTGTGTGCGTGAGTGTGAGTGCGTGTGTGTGTGTGCGTGTGTGTGCGTGCGTGTGTGTGAGTGTGCGTGAGTGTGAGTGCGTGTGTGTGTGTGCGTGTGTGTGCGTGCGTGCGTGTGAGTGTGCGTCAGTGTGAGTGAGTGTGTGTGCATGTGTGCATGTGCGTGAGTGCGTGTGAGTGTGCGTGAGTGTGAGTGCGTGTGTGTGCGCATGCGTGTGTGTGTGCGCGTGAGTGAGTGTGTGTGCATGTGTGCGTGAGTGCGTGTGAGTGTGCGTGAGTGTGTGTGCGTGTGTGCGTAAGTGTGTGTGTAAGTGTGTGCGTGTGTGCGTGAGCGTGTGTGCATGTGTGCGTGAGTGTGTGTGCATGTGTGCGTGTGTGTGCGTGCGCGCGCGCGGGGAGCGGTTAGCTCGCCACGCTACGAACCCGGCGACCCGGGTTCCATCCCCGCTCGCGCAACAACAACAACAACAACGGTGACGACTCTCTGAACCGGTCCTGGGCCTCGCCTAGCTCGGCTCGAGCCTCAAATGGCGCGGTGTGTGTAAAACATCGCGGCCGGGCGTGGCGCTGGCCACCCACCACCCACCCCGCCCCCGTGCGCCGTGTCCTCGGCCTTCGCCGGTGCTGCTCGCTAACAGCGCGTGGGCCGGTGTCAGGCGCTCACCTTGCACGGCGAACGTTCGCCCGTGCACCTCGATGACGGGACAGCAGCCGAAGTACTCGCTGAACATCGTCGTGTCGATGGTGGCCGACATGAGGACGATGCGCGCGTCCGGGAACGTGCGCATCACGTCGTTGAGCACCACGAGCAGGAAGTCCGACTGACAGGGCAGGCAAAAAAAACACCAAACCGCGGAGGAGCCACTCGCGGAGACCCGCAGAGGCGCACGACCGGAGAGAGCCCCACAGAGGCCCGCACTCGTATACACCCACAGAGACTGACACCCATAGAGACCCACAGAGACCCACACTCATAGAGACCCACAGAGACCCATGCTCATAGAGACCCACTGAGAACCACACTCATAGAGACTCACAGAGGCCCGCACTCATAGAGACCCACAGAGGCCCACACTCATAGAGACCCACAGGGACTGACACCCATAGAGACCCACAGAGGCCCGCACTCATAGAGACCCACAGAGGCCCGCAATCATAGAGACCCACAGAGGCTGACACCCATAGAGACCCACAGAGGGCCGCACTCATAGAGACCCACAGAGGCCCACACCCATAGAGACCCACAGGGACTGACACCCATAGAGACCCACAGAGGCCCACACTCATAGAGACCCACAGAGGCCCACACTCATAGAGACCCACAGGGACTGACACCCATAGAGACCCACAGAGGCCCACACTCATAGAGACCCACAGAGGCCCACACTCATAGAGACCCACAGGGACTGACACCCATAGAGACCCACAGAGGCCCGCACTCATAGAGACCCACAGAGGCCCGCAATCATAGAGACCCACAGAGGCTGACACCCATAGAGACCCACAGAGGGCCGCACTCATAGAGACCCACAGAGGCCCACACCCATAGAGACCCACAGGGACTGACACCCATAGAGACCCACAGAGGCCCACACTCATAGAGACCCACAGAGGCCCACACCCATAGAGACCCACAGGGACTGACACCCATAGAGACCCACAGAGACCCACACTCATAGAGACCCACAGAGACTGACACCCAGAGACCCACAGAGGCCTGCACTCATAGAGACCCACAGAGACCCATACTCATAGAGACCCACAGAGACCCATACTCACAGAGACCCACAGAGACCCATACTCATAGAGACCCACAGAGACCCATACTCACAGAGACCCACAGAGACCCATACTCATAGAGACCCACAGAGACCCATACTCACAGAGACCCACAGAGACCCATACTCATAGAGACCCACAGAGACCCATACTCACAGAGACCCACAGAGACCCACACCCATAGAGACCCACAGAGACCCACACTCATAGAGACCCACAGAGACCCACACTCATAGAGACCCACACTCATTGAGACCCACCGAGACCCACACTCATAGAGACCCACAGAGACCCACACTCATAGAGACCCACACTCAGAGACCCAAACTCATAGAGACCCAAACTCATAGAGACCCACACTCATAAGAGACCCACACTTATAGAGACCACAGAGACCCACAACCGTAGAGACCCACAGTGCCCACACTCATAGAGGCCCACAAAGACCCATACTAGAGACCCCACAGAGGCCCACACTCATCGAGACCCACAGAGACCCATACTCATGGAGACCCACAGAGACCCATACTCAGAGACCCACACTCACAGAGACCCACAACTGTAGAGACCCAGAGACCCACAACCGTAGAGACCCACACAGACCCATACACATGGAGACCCACAGAGACGCACACTCATAGAGACCCACAGAGACCCAAACTCACAGAGACCCACAGAGATCCACAACCGTAGAGACCCACACAGACCCATATTCATGGAGACCCACAGAGACCCACACTCACAGAAAACCACGAGAGACCCACAGAGACCCATACTCACAGAGACCCACAACCGTAGAGACCCACACTCACAGAGACTCACAGAGACCCACACAGACCCATACTCATGGAGACCCACACTCACAGAGACCCACAGAGACCCACACAGACCCATACTCATGGAGACCCACACTCACAGAGACCCACAGAGACCCACACAGACCCACACTCACAGAGACTCACAGAGACCCACAGAGACCCGTACAGACACACAGACGGACGGGTGGGGTGGCAGCCGCACGGCACACTGCCACGCGGACACACGGATGGACGGGTGTGGAGCGATGGCTCACGTTGAGGTCCCTCTCGTGGATCTCGTCCACGATCACGTGACTGATGCCCCGCAGGCCGGACTCCAGCTTCCTCAGCAGCACACCTGTAGGCGGTGGGGGCGGCACACACACACACACGCTCCAGTCAGCACACACACACACTCCAGTCAACACACACACACACACTCCAGTCAACACACACACACTCCGGTCAGCATACACACACACGTTCCAGTCAGCACACACGCTCCGGTCAGCACACACACACACGCTCCGGTCAGCACACACACGCTCCAGTCAGCACACACACACACACGCTCCAGTCAGCACACACACACACACACTCACTCCAGTCAGCACACACACACACACACACGCTCCAGTCAGCACACACTCCGGTCAGCACACACACACACGCTCCAGTCAGCACACACACACACACACACGCTCCAGTCAGCACACACACACACTCACTCCAGTCAGCACACACACACACACACTCCAGTCAGCACACACACACACGCTCCAGTCAGCACACACACACACACACACTCCGATCAGCACACACACTCACACGCTCCAGTCAGCACACACACACACACTCCAGTCAGCAGACACACACTCACGCTCCAGTCAGCACACACACACGCTCCGGTCAGCACACACACACACACACTCCAGTCAGCACACACACTCACGCTCCAGTCAGCACACACACACACACGCTCCGGTCAGCACACACACACACACGCTCCAGTCAGCACACACACTCCAGTCAGCACACACACACACACACTCCAGTCAGCACACACGTGCACACTCACTCCAGTCAGCACACACGTGCACACTCACTCCAGTCAGCACACACACACTCACTCCAGTCAGCACACACACACACACTCCAGTCAGCACACACACACACGCTCCAGTCAGCACACACACACACACACTCCAGTCAGCACACACACACACGCTCCAGTCAGCGCACACACACACACACGCTCCAGTCAGCACACACACACACTCCAGTCAGCACACACACACTCCGATCAGCACACACACTCACACGCTCCAGTCAGCACACACACACACTCCAGTCAGCACACACACACTCACGCTCCAGTCAGCACACACACACACACACACACGCTCCGGTCAGCACACACACACTCACTCCGGTCAGCACACACACACACGCTCCAGTCAGCACACACACACTCACTCCGGTCAGCACACACACACTCCAGTCAGCACACACACACACACACGCTCCAGTCAGCACACACACACACACACTCCAGTCAGCACACACACACTCACGCTCCAGTCAGCACACACACACACACGCTCCGGTCAGCACACACACACTCACTCCGGTCAGCACACACACACACACACACTCCAGTCAGCACACACAAACACACACACACACACCAGTCAGCACACACACACTCCAGTCAGCACACACAAACACACACACACTCCAGTCAGCACACACACACACACTCTGGTCAGCACACACACACACTGGTCAGCACACACACACACTCTGATTAGCACACACGTGCACGCTCCGGTCAACATACACACACACACACACTCCAGTCAGCACACACGCGCATGCTCTGATCAGCATACACACACACACATGCGCACGCTGAGGCAATATCGCCACCGGGGAGACAAAGGCGGACGGGCAGGGCGTGGTGCTGGCCACCCACCCCCATGGTGCGCCGTGCCGGCCTTCATAGGTGCTCGCTAACAGCACTTGCCCCTACAGTCTGTTAAGGCTACACGGGGGGATCTTTGTCTTTGTGTATTTGGGCGAGTGTGTGTGTTAGTCTGTGTGTGCGGGACACTTCACGTGGCCTCAAGGTGCACATGGCCTGGCACAAGCGTCGTGGCGACGTCACCGCCACTTAGTGGCGAATGGCGGTTGTTGTTGTTGTATGTGGGAGCGGTGGTGTAGTAGCGGTTAGCGCTACGCTGCGCTACGAACCCGGCGACCCGAGTTCGATTCCCGTTCACGGCCACCGACACCGGTGACGATTATCTGAACCGGTTCCTGGGCCTTCACGTGGGTCGACTCAGCCTCAAATGAGTACCGAGTGCGGTGTGTAAAAAGTAAAAATAAATAAATAAATCGCCGCTGGGGAGACAAAGGCGGCCGGGCGTGGCATTGACCACCCGCTCCCTCCGTGCGCCGTTCCAGCCTTCATTAGGTGCTGCTAAATTTTGATTTAAAGCTTTCGTGACTGCAGTAATTCATATTCTTAGTTCTTTCGGTAAAGTCACGTTGAAGGGAAACAACAACAAAATAATGAAATATATATTTCATATATATTTCACAACAAAAAAATGAAATATATATTTTATTATTTTGTTGTTGTTTCCCTTCAACGTGGCTTTACCGAAAGAACTAAGCATATAGGTGCTGCTACTCGCTAACGGCACTTTCCCCAACAGTCTGTTAAGGCTACACGTACGGCGGCGGGGGTGGAGGGCGGTGGAGATCTTTGTCTTTGTTTTTGTTGGCGGTGCCGGTTGTGGCCCCAGTAGCCACGGTGCGTGCGTGCGTGCGTGAGTTACCGACGGTGCAGAAGAGGATGCTGCCGTGGGGCCTTGGCAGGATGGACTCGAAGCGCACGCTGTAGCCGCAGCTCTGGCCCACGTCCTCGCCACGCTCGAAGGCCACCCGCTCGGCCACCGACACGGCGCTGATGCGGCGCGGCTGGCGAGGCGGCAACGACAACGACAACGGTAACCAGGACGGTAAAGCCCCCCCTGGGCGCCGCCGCCGCCGCCGCCGCCGCCGCCGCCGCCGCAAGTACAAACCCCCCGGGCTCCCTCCACCGGTTGATTTCTCGGCACGGGGCGCCGAACGGCCGAGTGACCGGATTTCGTCACCAGAGCTATATGTGGTCGATCGGCGATAATAATCCACCGGCTTGGTGGTGGGGGGGGGGGGGGTGTCGGGCGGGGACTTTCAAAGACGCCCTACAATCACGAATTATCATCATCATCATCATCGCTATTTAACATTTTTGCGCGTTCTTGAACGATGTTCGTGTTATTAAAGCTTTCGTGACTGCACAAAATGACCCATTGGTTTTTTTTCGGTAAAGTCGCGTGTGTAGAGGTACAATAAAATGATGTTCAAACAGAAAAAAAACAATCGCGACGTTTCGATCACAGCGCAAGCGATCTTCATCAGGCGTCAAGAACAAATCAGAGGTCCTACCTCTGCCTCCTTGACCTCTGCCTCCCTGTCCGTCTTTCCTCCCTCCTTACCTCTTGGTGGACTTGTATATGTATTAGTACCGACCGTGTACCTCGTATTTTTCATTCTATCTATGCCGGTACGTGCAATACAAAGGTTGAACACGAAATTGAACACTCCTCTGAAATTCGTGGTCCGCCAGGAAGTGTCTAACTGTGTTGTTGGCCTGACTGGATGTGCTTCACGTAATGTTTTGTCAGGTTTGTTGAATTCTCGTCTCTCATCTTTTTGTGTTTGTATTTACCTCCGTGATTTGTTCTTGACACCTGATGAAGATCGCTTGCGTTGTGATCGAAACGTCGCGATTGTTTTTTGCTTTAATACAATTTTATTGTATCTCTACATACGTGACTTTACCGAAAAAAACCAATGAGCGAGTGATATTTCTGTTACGTGTTGCGCTCTACATTTTTTAAAGGCGTTTTAAAATTTATATTCTTGGTTCTTTCGGTGAAGTCACGTTGAAGGGAAACAATAAAATATATATAAAAAATAAAATTCTCACGACGTTTCGACTGCAACACGAGCAGTTATCATCAGGTGTTGAAAACCAACGGCAAGAACATTTGGAAGAAGTGGCGGTCTTCATTTATTTATCTTTAAACGTTAGCGCCACGGATTGGTATTACCCCAGAGTCGCGGCATCTCTTCAGAAAGGTGAGAGACTCGATCAGCTGAGCCTTCTTATCCCGGAGTTTGTTGCTATGTGGAAAGCCTCCCCGTAGAGGCGGTTAAATTTTGATTTAAAGCTTTCGTGACTGCAGTGATTCATATTCTTGGTTCTTTCGGTAAAGTCACGTTGAAGGGAAACAATAAAATAATAAAATATATAAAACAATAAAATTCTCACGACGTTTCGATAGCTATCCGTGGTGCTAACGTTTAAAAATAATAAATAAATACAAACCGCCACTTCTTTCAAATGTTCTTGCCGTTAGTTTTCACACCTGATGATGGCTGCTTGTGTTGCAGTCGAAACGTCGTGAGAATTTTATTGTTTTATATATACTTTATTATTTTATTGTTTCCCTTCAACGTGACTTTACCGAAAGAACCAAGAATATGAATCACTGCAGTCACGAAAGCTTTAAAATCAAAAGTGTTTTAAATTTGTTTACGGTGTCAAATTGGTATAAAAAAGCACAGAAATAGCCAAAAATGAATATCCTACCGTGAAAAAAGTTACCGTATTTACTGCACCGTACTTACCACCACAATTATCGAATACTCTGCATGGGGCTGATGTGGATATACGTGCAGTATTTTCATTAAGTTGCATGTAGTGTAGAGTGAGCTGAATTGTTCCTTGACACTGAAATCAAGCGTAGCGATTGTGTTTAGTCACACGCACGGCAGTGCCAATCGCGGGGCTGGTCACAGCCTTTGGAGCGGTTTTGCCGCATCAGCCCGGGGATCGCCGGATAATGTCGATCAACCGCAGCTCTTTTTCGGTCGCAAGTGACGGCTTCAACGAAGTGGCTCGTCATCATCACCATCATCACCGCGCGGAAACTTACGGCCGCAGCCAAACACCCTCTAAAACGCGTGACGTCGATTCTCAAATGTGGAGGGGAAAAAACCGGAGGACGATCAGAGAAACAAAAATCCACACGACCACCACGACGAGTGAGAGAGAGACAGAGAGACACACGCAAAATCCAAATATGTACAGCAGAAAGGCGTTAGGGTCGGGCTCGAACCCACGACCACCTGTATACCAGGCGAGGTAGTTAACATCTTCTAGCCACATGCAAACTCCAAATATACAGCAGGCGTCAGGGTCTGGCAAGAAACCACGACCACCTGTATACCAGGCGAGGTAGTTAACATCTCCTAGCCACATGCAAACTCCAAATATACAGCAGGCATCAGGGTCATTATTGAACCCACGACCACCTGTATACCTAGCGAGGTAGTTAACATCTCTTAGCCACATGCAAATCCAAATATACAGCAGGCGTCAGGGTCATTATTGAACCCACGACCTCCTGTACACCAGGCGAGGTAGTTAACATCTCCTAGCCACATGCAAACTCCAAATATACAGCAGGCGTCAGGGTCGGGCAAGAACCCACGACCACCTGCATACCACGCGAGGTAGTTAACATCTCCTAGCCACATGCAAATCCAAATATACAGCAGGCATCAGGGTCATTATTGAACCCACGACCACCTGTATACCTGGCGAGGTAGTTAACATCTCCTAGCCACATGCAAATCCAAATATACAGCAGGCGTCAGGGTCGGGCAAGAACCCACGACCACCTGCATACCAGGCGAGGTAGTTAACATCTCCTAGCCACATGCAAACTCCAAATATACAGCAGGCGTCAGGGTCGGGCAAGAACCCACGACCACCTGCATACCACGCGAGGTAGTTAACATCTCCTAGCCACATGCAAATCCAAATATACAGCAGGCATCAGGGTCATTATTGAACCCACGACCACCTGTATACCTGGCGAGGTAGTTAACATCTCCTAGCCACATGCAAATCCAAATATACAGCAGGCGTCAGGGTCGGGCAAGAACCCACGACCACCTGCATACCAGGCGAGGTAGTTAACATCTCCTAGCCACATGCAAATCCAAATATACAGCAGGCATCAGGGTCATTATTGAACCCACGACCACCTGTATACCTAGCGAGGTAGTTAACATCTCCTAGCCACATGCAAATCCAAATATACAGCAGGCGTCAGGGTCGGGCAAGAACCCACGACCACCTGCATACCAGGCGAGGTAGTTAACATCTCCTAGCCACATGCAAATCCAAATATACAGCAGGCGTCAGGGTCGGGCAAGAACCCACGACCACCTGCATACCAGGCGAGGTAGTTAACATCTCCTAGCCACATGCAAATCCACATATACAGCAGGCGTCAGAGTCATTATTGAACCCACGACCTCCTGTACACCAGGCGAGGTATTTAACATCTCCTAGCCACATGCAAATCCAAATATACAGCAGGAGTCATCAGAGTCGGGATGGAACCCACGGCCTCCTGCATACCAGGCGAGACAGTTAACATCTCGCCACGCAAGCGTCAGGGTGTGGTGGGGGTGTGGTGGTGGGTGTTGCGGTTGTGTGGCGGTGGTGTCGGTGGTGGTGGCAGTGGTGTCGTGGTGGTGGTGGTGGTGGTGGCGGTGGTGGCGGTGAGGAGGGGGGTGGTCGTTAGGTACCTGCGTGACGACGATGCTGCAGTCGGCTCCGTGGCCGTCCAGGATGAACTGGTCGAGGATGAACTGCGGCACCTGCGTGGTTTTGCCGCAGCCCGTCTGGCCGCGTACGATCACCACGGAGTGCTCCCGCACCGCCGTCAGCAGCTGTTCACGGAACTCGGCCATCGGCAGCTGAAGCCGCTCGCCGCTCATCTGCGCCGGGTTGGGGGGGGGTTTGGGCGGGAGGGGACACGCACGGTCACTGACACAGTCAACACAATCACCACCACCATCATCATCACGGTCACCACCACCATTGGTCGTCACCACCACCACAGCCACTGACACGGCCACCACCACCACGGTCACCACCACGACCACCACCACCACCACGACCACCACCACCACCACCACGGTCACCACGGTCACCACCACCACCACGGTCACCACCACCACGATCACCACCACCACCACGGTCACCACCACGACCACCACGGTCACCACGGTCACCACCACCACAACGGTCACCACGGTCACCACCACCACCACGGTAACCACCACGACCACCACGACCACCACCACGGTCACCACCACGGTCACCACCACCACGACCACCACCACGGTCACCACCACCACGACCACCACCACGGCCACCACCACGGTCACCACCACCACGACCACCACCACCACCACCACCACCACCACGGTCACCACCACCGTCACCGCCACAACCACCTCAGCCACTGACACAGTCGCCACCACCACGGTCACCACCACTACCACAGTCACCGCCACAACCGCCACAATCACTGACACAGTCGCCACCACCACCTACATGATCACTGCCACAGTCACTGACAGTCGTCACCACTACCACCGCCACCACAACCGCCACAGTCACTGAAACAGTCGCCACCACCACCACCACCACAGTCACTGATAGTCGCCACTACCACCGCCACCACCACAACCGCCAGTCACCGACAGTCGCCGCAGACTCAACCACCACCACCACCGCCACGGTCGTCAATTATTTATCACGGACACGTCAACATCGATCACGGATCCATCAATATTGATCGACACTCGTCAATTACTGCTCACGAATTCCATCAACGTTGATCGACAAATCATCACCAGGACCGACAGGGCGACATGCCGGGCCAGGAGCCAATGAAACATGATGCGTCTGTGTGACCGTTTGGCTCTTTCGGTAAAGTCACCACGTAGAATGAGAATAAAAGAATAAAATAAAATAACATGATAAAATTCTCACGACGTTTCGGCCACAACACAAGTGGCCTTCTTCAGGTGAAAGGAACAAACCTGTCGGGACGACACATAGAAGGTCTATGTGACTGCTTGGTTCTTTCGGTGAAGTCAATTTGCTACCTACGTGGTGACGACTTCACCGAAAGAATCAAAGTGTGTGGATCCCTGCAGTCAAGAAAACTTCAAATCTAGAATGAATGCCCTCTACGGGGAGGATTTCCACTTGTCTGTTTAGAGTCGCGTAGAAGGGAAACAATAAAATAATAAAAAATACAAAACAATACAATTCTCACGACGTTTCGACTGCAACACAAGCAATCATCATCAGGTGTGAAAACCACAGCAAGAAAATGTTCTTGCTGTGAGAATTCTATTGTTTTATATATTTTTTTATTGTTTTATTGTTTCCCTTCTACGTGGTGGTGGCTTTACCGAAAGAACCAAGAACATACTCTTTGGCTCTATTCGGTAAAGTCACGTAGGTAATAAATAAATAAATAAATTGCGCAAAAAAACTCGACGTTTCGGCCACAACACAAGCGGCCTTCATCAGGTGAAGGGACCAGGCTGTCTCGAGGACAGAGCTGGAGTGAAACACAGCCACGCTCAGACCGCGGACCTTTAGGCTGTGTGCGAGGAAACAAGGTGCCTTGACAAAGGAATTAGCATAAAAAAATTAGCATTTGATTGGCCGACTTAGCATAGAGGTGGTGTACATGCGGGTGCACATACTGTTTGGCGCGGGGGGGGGGAGGGGGAGTTTACCTATTGATGGTGTGAAAAGGGAATTTTTATTTTTTTACCTACGTGACTTTACCGAATAGAGCCAAAGAGTATGCATCCTTGCAGTCACGAAAGCTTCAAATCTAGAACCAAGAGTATGAATCCCTGCAGTCACGAAAGCTTTAAATCAACATTTGTCTGTTAAGAGTTTTCTAACAGACAACGTGACAACAAGTCACAACTTATTGCTCTTCACTTAATTACAGTGGTTTTTGGCTGTAACGGTTCCCCACCTGAAGACGGGGGAAGCTTGTGTTGCCTCCGAAACGTCGCGATTTAATTTAGTTTTTTCATTTGTTTCTTTTGCTGCCTACTACGTGATGACTTTACCCAAAGAACCAAAAGTGCGTGGATTTCCTTGCAGTCACCAAAGCTTCAAATCAAGATTGAACCGTGATCGGGCGAAACAAATGCAGCGGGAGAACTGCTGACGTCGGAGAAACAGCTGCTGCTTCTGCTGCTGCTGCAACAAACTCTTTCTCACGTAGAGAGAAAATTTATAGATCACGACTTTTCCATCGCAACACAAGCAATCGTCATCAGGTGGGACAATCGCCAGTTTTTTCTTTTGCTGTGGTTGTCCCACCTGATGACGACTGCTTGTGTTGCAACAAGCTCTTTCTCCTACGTCAGCAGCTCTCCTGCTGTTTGTTTCGCCTGATGACGGTCGCTTGCGTTGCGATTGAAACGTCGGGATCCGTTATTATTTTTCTACTTACGTGATGACTTTACCCAAAGAACCAAAAGTGCGTGGATTTCCTGCAGTCACCAAAGCTTCAAATCAATATTGAACCGTGATCAGGCGAAACAAACGCAGCGGGAGAACTGCTGACGTCCGAGAAAGATCGCTGCTGCAACAAACTCTTTCTCACGTAGGTAGAAAATTAATAGATCACGACTTTTCCATCGCAACACAAGCGACCGTCATCAGGACGAAGATCGCCGCCGCAACCAGCTCTTCTTTTAACGTCAGCAGTTCTCCTGCCGCGTTTGTCTCGCCCGATGGCGGTCGCTCGCGCTGCGATGGAAACGTGGCGACCCGTTCATTTTCTACCCACCACGTGATGACTTTACCTGCAGTACACGGAAGCTTCGAATCAAGACTGCGTCTACGTTACGTGAAGGTTCCACAACTATTTGGTCCTTTCGGCGAAACTCATCACGTAGGTGAAAAATAATAAGAAGAATGATGAAAAGAATAAAACGAAAACAACTAAATTAAATCGCGACGTTTCGGCCGTGACGCCAGCGGACGCAACTAGCCAAGGCCCGCCGAGCAAATTAACGGACGCTTGCGTTGCGCGGCCGAAACGTCGTGATTTAACCTTGTTGTTTTCATTTTATGATTTTCATTATTACTTTTTTTCATTTTTTCATCTACGTGACGACTTCACCCGAAAGATACCAAAGAGCATGGATCCCTTGCAGTCATGGAAAACTTCAAATCCAGAATAACTTCCAAGGTTATTGTAGATTCATCTGCTGCCATCGGTGTCCACGTGATGACGAGTCACTTTGTTGAGCTATCACCTTGGGTGGCAAGGTGGCTTCTGAAAAATAAGTTAATTTGCTTGGTGGGCCTTAGCTGGTAAAATAATCATAATAAATACGTGATGACTTTGACGATACAACCAAAAGACTATGGAGGATTCCTTGCAGTCACCAAACCTTAAAATCAGGATTATAAAAAAAAAAAAATATTTGTACGTGTATTTTTTTTAAAGTAATTTTTTTTTACATATTCTTGGTAAAATTTTGATTTAAAGCTTTCGTGACTGCAGGGATTCATATTCTTGGTTCTTTCGGTAAAGTCACCACGTAGATAGGGAAACAATAAAATAAAATAAAACAATAAAATTCTCACGACGTTTCGACTGCAACACAATCAATCATCATCAGGTGGCTTTCAGACCACATCCATTATTTTCGTCTCCCCCCTCCTCTAAATTATTGCCAAATCGCTCTCCGTGGTGCTAACGTTTAAAAAAACCGCCACATTTTTCAAATTTTCTTGTTGTGGTTTTCACACCTGACGATGATTGCTTGTGTTGCAGTCGAAACGTCGTGAGAATTTTATTGTTTTATATTTTTACTATTTTATTGTTTCCCTTCTACGTGACTTTACCGAAAGAACCAAAAATATATATTCTTGGTTCTTTCGGTAAAAAAATAATGAAAATATAAAGCAATATTTCGTATTATTATTATATCATTTCCCTTCTACGTGGTGACTTTACCGAAAGAACTCAAGAATATGAATCCCTGCAGTAACGAAAGCTTTAAATCAAAATTTAATATATTTTTTTTTACCTTCAAAATACTTTGCACTCCTCCATCGTGTTGTTGTTGTTGTTTTAAGGTTCTAGACCACCCGTGCCCGCTTACTGGAAATTTGTGAAAATGTTGCATCGTGCTATAATAAGCTCATCGGATTCCTGCTCCGGTGATAAATCAAGATTCGGATTCAACGGCGTGCCTGCTTGTAGCTGTCGTCGTTCTCCATCTTGTAGATGAGGGCGCTGTGCAGATCCCTGCTGACCATCTCCGGGGTCGCCTGCCACGCACGCGACACCACCACCGCTGCCGTCGTCATCATCATCATCGTCGTCGTCGTCGTCATCATCATCATCGTCGTCGTCGTCAGCGTCATCGTCGTCATCATCATCATCGTCATCGTCGTCGTCATCATCATCGTCGTCGTCGTCGTCATCAGCATCGTCGTCATCATCATCATCGTCGTCTTCGTCAGCGTCGCCATCGTCACTGTCGTCGTCGTCATCAACGTCATCGTCGTCATCATCGTCATCAGCATCATCGTCATCATCGTCATCAGCATCATCATCTTCGTCAGCGTCCCCATCGTCACCGTTTTCGTCATCAGCATCATTGTCATCATCGTCGTCATCATCGTCTTCGTCAGCGTCGCCATCGTCACCGTCGTCATCAGCGTCATCGTCGTCATCGTCGTCATCGTCGTCATCATCAGCATCATCGTCTTCGTCAGCGTCCCCATCATCACCGTTTTCGTCATCACCATCGTCATCATCGTCGTCATCAGCGTCGTCATCATCGTCATCAGCAGCAGAAGCATCATCGTCGTTGTGATCATCAGCGTCAGCATCATTATCGTCACCAGAAACATCGGCAGATTCGCCATCGCAATCAGCAGCAGCATCATCATCAGCATCATCAGCGACGTAAGCATATCCCCATCATCATCAGCAGCAGCAGCCTCACCTCACACACGTGTGTGTACATATGCATGCGTGTGTGTGTGTGTACGTGCATAGAGAGTGGTAGTGTAGCAGTCAGCGCGCTGCACTAAGAACCCAGCGACCCCGAGTTTGATTCCTGCTCGCGGCCACAAACACCGGTGACGATCATCCGAACTGGTCCTGGGCCTCCTCCCCTAGGTCGACCCGGCCTCAAATGAGCACCCGGTGCGGTGTGCAGTAAACATCGCCACTGGGGGAGACAAAGGCGGTCGGGCGCCGTGCCGTGCCGGCCTAACAGCACTTGGGGGACCTTTGTCTTTGTACGCGCGTTTTTGTACGCGCGTGTGTGCTCCGCGCGTGTACACGCATGTGTCTGTGCGTACGCGTGCATGTGCACGCGTGTGCGTGTGTGTACGTGTGCGTGTGTGTGCATGTGTGTGTACGCGGCAGTGTAGTAGCGGTTAGCGCCACGCTGCGCTACGAACCCGGCGACCAGACTTCGATTCCCGCTCACGGCCAACACCACCACCACCCAGCGACGATTATCTGAACCGGTCCTGGGCCTCCTCCCCTAGGTCGACCCGGCCTCAAATGAGCACCCGGTGCGGTGTGCAGTAAACATCGCCACTGGGGGAGACAAAGGCGGCCGGGTGCGGTGCTGGCCACCCCCACCCCCGTCGTGTGCCGTGCCGGCCTTCGCAGGCGCTGCTGCTCGCTAGCAGCGCTCGCCCGCCCCCTACAGTCCGTTGCAGGCTACACGGGGCATCTTTTGTCTTCGTCTTTGTGCGAGCACACGTGTCCGTGCGTGCGAGCGTGCGAGCGTGTGAGCGTGCGAGCGAGCGAGCGAGCGTCTCACGGTGGCGAGCGGACCCTCGTCGATGTTGCCGCTCGTCCACGGGTTCCAGTTCATCTGCGGCGGCGACCAGGGCACGACGCCGGTGAAGGTCTGGCGTGCAGACGGCTCAAAGTGAGCCAGCTTGTTCACCGTGAGGCTCACCGCCTCCCCCGGATTGGCCGCCTACACGGTGGTGAGGGGGGTGGGGGGGAGGAGGGGGGGGGGGGGGAGGTGGAGAGGGGGGCACGCGGGGGGAGGGGGGGGAGGGGGGCACGCGCGCAAAAAAATATGGATCCGTGTAGCCTTCAGAGACTCTACTTCTTTGGTTCTTTCTGTAAAGTCACCACCACGTAGAATGAGAATAAAATAATAAGTTGATAAAATAACACGATAAAATTCTCACGACGTTTCGGCCACAACGCAAGCGGCCTTCTTCAGGTGAAAGGAACAGACCCGTCGGGACGACAGAGCTTCAATGAACGTGTCGGGACGACAGAGGTCTGTTCCTTTCACCTGAAGAAGGCCGCTTGTGTTGTGGCCGAAACGTCGTGAGAATTTTACCGCGTTATTTTATTTTATCAATTTATTATTTTATTCTCATTCCACGTGGTGGATGACTTTACCGAAAGAACCAAAGAAGACGAATCCTTGCAGTCACGAAAGCTTCAAATCGAAACCTTCAGAGGCCGTTGGGTCAAGTGCCGTTAGCGAGGAGCACCTTTGTGAGGGCCGGCACGGAGCTCAACAACCACAACAACAACCGCCACCAAGTGGCGGTGACGGCACCACGGCGCTTGTGCCGGGGCTATGTGTACGTTGAAGCAATCACTTGAAGTGTCGAAGGCCCGCTGGCAGGAGGTCTCGGGACAGACCCAGCAGGTGCCACGGGTCGGCTGACTGAGATGACCAGGTAGATGCACCACCAGCTGTAACCCCCCAACTGTGCCAGGCTAGGTGCAGGAGGAGGTCTCGGGACAGACCCAGCAGGTGCCACGGGTCGGCTGACTGAGATGACCGGTAGATGCACCACCAGCTGTAACCCCCTACTGTGCCAGGCTAGGTGCAGGAGGAGGTCACGGTACAGACCCAGCAGGTGCCACGGGTCGGCTGACTGAGATAACCGGTAGATGCACCGCCAGCTGTAACCCCCTACTGTGCCAGGCTAGGTGCAGGAGGAGGTCACGGTACAGACCCAGGTGGTGCCATGGGCTGACTGAGATGACTGGCAGATGCACCACGTGCATTTTAGCCGCCCGGCGCTCCGCTCGTTGTTGTGAGCGTCGCTCCTCTGCCCTCCGTTGTTGCTGGAGGGCGACTGCCTCCAACTGCCCCGGTAGCAGTAGCGTCCTTCCCGAGCCTCCTCTATAGAAGCCGATCTTGACACCGCTGGTACCGGTCATCGGCAAGTCCACCCAGCTCCACATCCTCCCGTACTGCATCACTCCATCTCTTCTCTAGCCCGTGCCGCGCCCATTTAGCCCCCTCTATGCGGTCAAACAAAAGCTGTTTAGGCATGCGGTGACTTGGCATGCGGGCTACATGACCCAGCCAGCGCAGCCTTGCCTGCCAGAGGAGCTCACCGATGGGAACGTGTCCAGATCTTTCAAGGATTTGTGAGCTCTTCACACAATCCAGCCTGCTGGTTAAACCCAGGCTAGATCGGAGGCAGGACCAGCCTGAATGTTCCATTAGGGAGGTCCACGTTTCGCAAGCGTGGAGAAGGGAGGGCATGACCGTGGCCGAGAAGACCCGAAGCGTTACGCAGTCGCTGAAAAGATAATGCAGCTCGACTGATTCAGTGCGAGACCTCTGCTGTCAAAGTGGAGCCGGTCATGAGCACACTGCCCAGGTACAGGAAACTCTCCACTCTCTCTCCACAACTGCTCCATCACCAATTGGGGAGCTGATGGGGGTGGAGTGTCTGATGGCACAAAATACCCAGGCAGGTGGACACACAGGCTAAGGGTAAGGGTCAGGGTATCAGGGCAAGGGTCAGGGTGTCAGAGTAAGTGTCAGGGTAAGGGTCAGGGTAAGGGTCAGGGTAAATGCCAGGGTAAGGGTCAGGGTAAGGTCACGGTAAGGTCACGGTAAGGGTCAGGGTAAGGTCAGGCTGTAAGGGTTAGGCTTTAAGGATCAGGGTAAGGTCACGGTAAGGTCAGGGTAAGGGTAAGGTCAGGCTGTAAGGGTTAGGCTTTAAGGATCAGGGTAAGGTCACGGTAAGGTCAGGGTAAGAGTCACGGTAAGGTCAGGCCGTAAGGGTGAGGCTTTAAGGATCAGGGCAGGGGCAGGGTAAGGTCAGGGTAAGGGTCAGGGTAAGGTCAGGCCGTAAGGGTGAGGCTTTAAGGATCAGGGTAAGGTCAGGGTGTCAGGGTAAGGTCAGGGTGTCAGGGTAAGGTCAGGGTGTCAGGGTAAGGGTCAGGTTAAGGGTCAGGGTAAGGTCACGTTAAGGTCACGTTAAGGTCAGGGTGTCAGGGTAAGGTCAGGGTGTCAGGGTAAGGTCACGATAAGGTCAGGATAAGGGTCAGGGTCAGGCTGTAAGGGTCAGGATGGTTGCTCACCGGGGGCACAGGCTGCAGGCCCAGCTCCTGCACCACGCCGTGCAGCTGCTCCTCCACCTCAGGAGGGACCACCACGTTAAAGGGCTCCAGCTGCACCGCGGGGGGCAGGGCGAGAGGGTGGTGAGGGGGGCGGTGACGTGGGTGACACGTGGGTGACACGTGGGTGACACGTGGGTGACACGAGGGTGACACGTGGGGTGACACGTGGGTGACACGTGGGTGACACGTGGGGTGACACGAGGGTGACACGTGGGTGACACGTGGGGTGACACGTGGGTGACACGTGGGGTGACACGAGGGTGACACGTGGGGTGACACGTGGGTGACACGTGGGTGACACGTGGGTGACACGAGGGTGACACGTGGGGTGACACGTGGGTGACACGTGGGTGACACGTGGGTGACACGTGGGTGACAAGCGAGTGACACGCGGGTGACACGAGGGTGACACGAGGGTGACACGAGGGTGACACGAGGGTGACACGTGGGTGACTCGTGGGTGACACGTGGGTGACACGTGGGTGACACGTGGGTGACACGAGGGTGACACGTGGGTGACACGTGGGTGACACGTGGGTGACACGAGGGGTGACACGTGGGTGACACGTGGGTGACACGTGGGTGACACGTGGGGTGACACGTGGGTGACACGTGGGTGACACGTGGGTGACACGTGGGTGACACGTGGGTGACACGAGGGTGACACGTGGGTGACACGTGGGTGACACGTGGGTGACACGTGGGTGACACGTGGGGTGACACGTGGGTGACACGAGGGTGACACTTGGGTGACACGTGGGGTGACACTTGGGTGACACGTGGGTGACACGTGGGTGACACGAGGGTGACACGTGGGTGACACGTGGGTGACACGTGGGGTGACACGTGGGGTGACACGTGGGTGACACGAGGGTGACACGTGGGGTGACACGTGGGTGACACGTGGGTGACACGTGGGTGACACGTGGGTGACACGTGGGGTGACACGTGGGGTGACACGTGGGTGACACGTGGGTGACACGTGGGTGACACGTGGGTGACACGTGGGGTGACACGTGGGGTGACACGTGGGTGACACGTGGGTGACACGTGGGTGACACGTGGGGTGACACGTGGGGTGACACGTGGGTGACACGTGGGGTGACACGTGGGTGACACGTGGGTGACACGAGGGTGACACGTGGGTGACACGTGGGTGACACGTGGGTGACACGTGGGGTGACACGTGGGTGACACGTGGGTGACACGTGGGTGACACGTGGGTGACACGTGGGTGACACGGGGGGTGACACGTGGGTGACACGTGGGTGACACGTGGGTGACACGTGGGGTGACACGAGGGTGACACGTGGGTGACACGTGGGTGACACGTGGGGTGACACGTGGGGTGACACGTGGGGTGACACGTGGGTGACACGAGGGTGACACGTGGGTGACACGTGGGTGACACGTGGGTGACACGTGGGGTGACACGTGGGTGACACGTGGGGTGACACGTGGGTGACACGTGGGGTGACACGTGGGTGACACGTGGGGTGACACGTGGGTGACACGTGGGTGACACGTGGGTGACACGTGGGTGACACGTGGGTGACACGAGGGTGACACGAGGGTGACACGTGGGTGACACGTGGGTGACACGTGGGTGACACGTGGGGTGACACGTGGGGTGACACGAGGGGTGACACGTGGGTGACACGTGGGTGACACGTGGGTGACACGAGGGTGACACGTGGGTGACACGTGGGTGACACGTGGGTGACACGTGGGTGACACGTGGGGTGACACGAGGGTGACACGTGGGTGACACGTGGGTGACACGTGGGTGACACGTGGGGTGACACGTGGGTGACACGTGGGTGACACGTGGGTGACACGTGGGTGACACGTGGGGTGACACGTGGGTGACACGTGGGTGACACGTGGGGTGACACGTGGGTGACACGTGGGGTGACACGTGGGGTGACACGTGGCGGCAGCGCCAGCGGTTGGCGCGCCGCTGGGCCTACCTACGGCCCCCCGGGGGTTCCACCCCAGCTCATGGCGCCCCCCCCCCCCCCCCCCCCCGGGGCCTCCCCGCCCCTAGGTCGGCTCGGCCTCAAATGACGAGCGGCCGGGGTGCGCGGTGCGACGTGTAAGCACCGCCACCCCCCGCCCCCCACACCCAGGCACACCCCGCACCTCCTAGACACCCCCCCTCCCTAGGCCCCCCCCCAGGCACCCCCTACCCCCCCACCCCCCAGGCCCCCCCCCCCCAGGCCCCCCCCCCCCCCCCGTAGCTCACGGCCTCGATCTCCTTCTTCTTGGTCTGGCCTGAGAAGGGCTCCACCACGCCCAGGTGGTAGAGCTGGCGCACCAGCGACAGAGCGCACGACTGGGCCGCCAGCTTCTTGTTGGAGCCGTGCTCGCGCGCAAAGATCTCTGTCGGGGGGGGGGGGGGGGGCGGGGGGGGGCGGGGGGGGGGGGCGGGGGTGGGGGGGGCGGGGGGGGGGGCGGGGGGGGGGGTTTAGACGAAGGAGAGGCACAGCGGCAGGGCGCGGGACGGGGCGGCGACCACGTGGAGACGGTGAGGAGGGTGCAAGGGGGGGGGGGGAACACGTGGGGAGATGTGGGGGGGGGGGGACACGTGGGGAGATGTGGGGGGGGAGGGGACACGTGAGGAGATGTGGGGGGGGGACACGTGGGGAGATGTAGGGGGGGGGGGGACACGTGGGGAGATGTGGGGGGGGGGGACACGTGAGGAGATGTGGGGGGGGGACACGTGGGGAGATGTAGGGGGGGAGGGACACGTGGGGAGATGTGGGGGGGGAGGGGACACGCGAGGAGATGTGGGGGGGGGGGGATACGCAAGGGGGCTGCAGGCGGTGCCGTGATCGTTGCGACGGTTGTGGTGGCGGTGCCAGCGGTGGCGGTGCCGGCGGCGATCATGACGACAGTGACGACAGTGACGATGACGATGGCGACAGTGACGATGACGACAGTGATGATGGCGACAGTGACGACAGTGACGATGGAGACAGTGACGACGATAATACCAACGATGGCGACAGTGACGATGATGATGGCGACAGTGACGACAGTGACGATGATGATGGCGACAGTGACGACAGTGGCGACAGTGACGACAGTGACGATGACGACAGTGACGATGATGATGACGACAGTGACGATGATGATGACGACAGTGACGATGACGACAGTGACGACAGTGACGACGATGATGGCGACAGTGACGATGATGATGACGACAGTGACGATGATGATGACGACAGTGACGATGATGATGGCGACAGTGACGACAGTGGCGACAGTGACGATGATGATGGCGACAGTGACGATGATGATCGCGACAGTGACGACAGTGGCGACAGTGACGATGATGATGACGACAGTGACGATGATGATGGCGACAGTGACGACAGTGACGACGATGATGGCGACAGTGACGATGACGATGGCGACAGTGACGATGACGATGGCGACAGTGACGATGATGATAGCGACAGTGACGATGATGATGGCGACAGTGACGACAGTGGCGACAGTGACGATGACGATGGCGACAGTGACGACAGTGACGACGATGATGGCGACAGTGACGATGGCGACAGTGACGATGATGATGGCGACAGTGACGATGGCGACAGTGACGATGATGATGGCGAAAGTGACGACAGTGACGATGATGATGACGACAGTGACGATGATGATGACGACAGTGACGATGATGATGACAGTGACGATGATGATGACGACAGTGACGATGATGATGACGACAGTGACGATGATGATGACGACAGTGGCGACAGTGACGACAGTGACGATGATGATGGCGACAGTGACGATGACGACAGTGACGACAGTGACGATGATGATGACGACAGTGACGATGATGATGACAGTGACGATGATGATGGCGACAGTGGCGACAGTGACGACAGTGACGATGATGATGACGACAGTGACGATGATGATGACGACAGTGACGATGATGATGGCGACAGTGACGACAGTGACGATGATGATGGCGACAGTGACGACAGTGACGATGGAGACAGTGACGACAGTGACGACAGTGACGATGGAGACAGTGACGACGATAATACCAACGATGGCGACAGTGACGATGATGATGGCGACAGTGACGATGATGATGGCGACAGTGACGATGATGATGGCGACAGTGACGACAGTGACGACAGTGACGATGATGGCGACCGTGACGATGATGATGGCGACAGTGACGATGATGATGGCGACAGTGACGACGATGATGGCGACAGTGACAATGACGATGGCGACAGTGACGATGGCGACAGTGACGATGATGATGGCGAAAGTGACGACAGTGACGATGATGATGACGACAGTGACGATCATGATGACGACAGTGACGATGACGACAGTGACGATGATGATGGCGACAGTGACAATGACGATGGCGACAGTGACGATGATGATGGCGAAAGTGACGACAGTGACGATGATGATGACGACAGTGACGATGACAACAGTGACGATGATGATGGCGACAGTGACAATGACGATGGCGACAGTGACGATGGCGACAGTGACGACAGTGACGATGATGATGACGACAGTGACGATGATGATGACGACAGTGACGATGATGATGACAGTGACAATGATGGCGACAGTGGCGACAGTGACGACAGTGACGATGATGATGACGACAGTGACGATGATGATGGCGACAGTGACGACAGTGACGATGATGATGGCGACAGTGATGATGATGACGACAGTGACGATGATGATGACGACAGTGACGATGATGATGACGACAGTGACGATGATGATGGCGACAGTGGCGACAGTGACGACAGTGACGATGATGATGACGACAGTGACGATGATGACAGTGACGACAGTGGCAACAGTGACGATGATGATGGCGACAGTGACGACAGTGACGATGATGATGGTGACAGTGACGACAGTGACGACGATGATGGCGACAGTGACGATGATGATGGCGCCAGTGACGATGACGACAGTGACGACAGTGACGATGATGATGACGACAGTGACGATGATGATGACGACAGTGACGATGATGATGATGACGACAGTGACGATGGCGACAGTGACGATGATGACGACAGTGACGACAGTGACGACAGTGACGATGATGATGACGACAGTGACGATGATGATGGCGACAGTGACGACAGTGACGATGGAGACAGTGACGACGATAATACCAACGATGGCGACAGTGACGATGATGATGGCGACAGTGACGATGATGATGGCGACAGTGACGACAGTGACGACGATGATGGCGACAGTGACGATGACGATGGCGACAGTGACGATGACGATGGCGACAGTGACGATGATGATAGCGACAGTGACGATGATGATGGCGACAGTGACGACAGTGACGATGACGATGGCGACAGTGACGATGACGATGGCGACAGTGACGACGCGAGTTCTCACTTCGTCCCAGCTTCTTGATGAAGAGCTGCATCTCGGCTATGAAGCTCCTGCGGTTTGCCGGGAGGCGGAGAGGGCGACACAGGCAACGTAAACACCACGGCACCGGCGACTCCGGCGCGCCAGTTGGGCGAATTTGCCGCGCGGGCCGCGACACGACGCCAAGACGGAACTCGCGAGCGGGCGGACGTCAGCCAATCAAAAGAAGGCGGGGGGACGGGGGGACGGGGTGGGGGGGTCTGCGTTTGACGCGGCTCCGTACTAACCGACGGGCATTACTCCATCCGCGTATCGTCGCGTGCCAACGAATCGGCGCGGCGATGATATATCCTCGACGGATCGATTGATAGCGTAAGACGGGGAGCGACGGGGGGGGGGGAGTCGGCAACAAAAATATAGAATTCGGTAAGTCTGCAGGTCTCTATGTAAGTCTGTGAGTCTCTATGTGAATCTGTGTGGGTCTCTATGTAAGTCTGTGAGTCTCTATGTGAATTTGTGTGGGTCTCTATGTAAGTCTGTGAGTCTCTATGTGAATTTGTGTGGGTCTCTATGTAAGTCTGTGAGTCTCTATGTGAATCTGTGTGGGTCTCAATGTAAGTCTGAGAGTCTCTATGTAAGTCTGTGAGTCTCTATGTGAATCTGTGTGGGTCTCTATGTAAGTCTGTGAGTCTCTATGTGAATCTGTGTGGGTCTCTATGTAAGTCTGTGGGTCTCTATGTAAGTCTGTGAGTCTCTATATGAATCTGTGTGGGTCTCTATGTAAGTCTGTGAGTCTCTATTTGAATTTGTGTGGGTCTCTATGTAAGTCTGTGAGTCTCTATATGAATCTGTGTGGGTCTCTATGTAAGTCTGTGGGTCTCTATATGAATCTGTGTGGGTCTCTATGTAAGTCTGCGGGTCTCTATGTAAGTCTGTGAGTCTCTATGTGAATCTGTGTGGGTCTCTATGTAAGTCTGTGAGTCTCTATGTGAATTTGTGTGGGTCTCTATGTAAGTCTGTGAGTCTCTATGTGAATTTGTGTGGGTCTCTATGTAAGTCTGTGAGTCTCTATGTGAATCTGTGTGGGTCTCTATGTAAGTCTGTGGGTCTCTATGTAAGTCTGTGAGTCTCTATGTGAATCTGTGTGGGTCTCTATGTAAGTCTGTGAGTCTCTATTTGAATTTGTGTGGGTCTCTATGTAAGTCTGTGAGTCTCTATATGAATCTGTGTGGGTCTCTATGTAAGTCTGCGGGTCTCTATGTAAGTCTGTGAGTCTCTATGTGAATCTGTGTGGGTCTCTATGTAAGTCTGCGGGTCTCTATGTAAGTCTGTGAGTCTCTATGTGTTTCTGTGTGGGCCTCTATGTAAGTCTGCGGGTCTCTATGTAAGTCTGTGAGTCTCTATGTGAATCTGTGTGGGTCTCTATGTAAGTCTGTGAGTCTCTATGTAAGTCTGTGAGTCTCTATGTGAATCTGTGTGGGTCTCTATGTAAGTCTGTGAGTCTCTATGTGAATCTGTGTGGGTCTCTATGTAAGTCTGTGGGTCTCTATGTAAGTCTGTGAGTCTCTATGTGAATCTGTGTGGGTCTCTATGTAAGTCTGTGAGTCTCTATTTGAATTTGTGTGGGTCTCTATGTAAGTATGTGAGTCTCTATATGAATCTGTGTGGGTCTCTATGTAAGTCTGCGGGTCTCTATATGAATCTGTGTGGGTCTCTATGTAAGTCTGCGGGTCTCTATGTAAGTCTGTGAGTCTCTATGTGAATCTGTGTGGGTCTCTATGTAAGTCTGCGGGTCTCTATGTAAGTCTGTGAGTCTCTATGTGAATTTGTGTGGGTCTCTATGTAAGTCTGTGAGTCTCTATGTGAATCTGTGTGGGTCTCTATGTAAGTCTGTGGGTCTCTATGTAAGTCTGTGAGTCTCTATGTGAATCTGTGTGGGTCTCTATGTAAGTCTGTGAGTCTCTATTTGAATTTGTGTGGGTCTCTATGTAAGTCTGTGAGTCTCTATATGAATCTGTGTGGGTCTCTATGTAAGTCTGCGGGTCTCTATGTAAGTCTGTGAGTCTCTATGTGAATCTGTGTGGGTCTCTATGTAAGTCTGCGGGTCTCTATGTAAGTCTGTGAGTCTCTATGTGAATCTGTGTGGGTCTCTATGTAAGTCTGCGGGTCTCTATGTGAATCTGTGTGGGTCTCTATGTAAGTCTGCGGGTCTCTATGTAAGTCTGTGAGTCTCTATGTGAATCTGTGTGGGTCTCTATGTAAGTCTGCGGGTCTCTATGTAAGTTTGTATGTTTGCCCAAATCAATTGATAAAAATTTTGACATGCGTTTTTCTGGATTTTGTTGTTGTTATTCTGTCTCTCACTGTTCAAATAAACCTACTATTAAAAATTATAGACTGATCATTTCTTTGTCAGTGGGCAAACGTACAAAATCATCAGGGGATCAAATACTTTTTTCCCTCACTGTAAGTGTCAGGGGTGCGGTCTGCAGGGTCTCTATGTATGTCTGTGGGTCTCTATGTGAATCTGTGTGGGCCTCTATGTATGTCTGTGGGTCTCTATGCAAGTCTCTGGGTCTCTGAGAATCTCCGATTGGCACAGGTGGCAACGCACGGTGCGAAAGAAGTTCAACATGGGCACAGTGTTAGTCTATGGGTCCAGTGTCACTCTACGGGTTCCAGCGTTAGTCTACGGGTCCAGCGTAAGTCTACGGGTCCAGCGTCAACCTACGGGTTCCAGTGTTAGTCTACGGGTTCAGCGTTAGTCTACGAGTCCAGCGTTAGTCTACGGGTTCCAGTGTTAGTCTATGGGTCCAGTGTCACTCTACGGGTTCTAGCGTTAGCCTACGGGGCTCCAGCGTTAGTCTACGGGTCCAGTGTTAGTCTACGGGTTCCAGCGTTAGTCTACGGGTCCAGCGTTAGTCTACGGGTTCCAGCGCTAGCCTACGGGTCCAGCGTTAGTCTACGGGTCCAGTGTTAGCCTACGGGTTCCAGAGTTAGTCTACGGGTTCCAGTGTTAGTCTACGGGTCCAGTGTTAGTCTACGGGTCCAGTGTTAGCCTACGGGTTCCAGCGTTAGTCTACGGGTTCCAGCGTTAGTCTACGGGTCCAGCGTTAGTCTACGGGTTCCAGCGTTAGTCTACGGGTCCAGCGTTAGTCTACGGGTTCCAGCGTTAGTCTACGGGTCCAGCGTTAGTCTATGGGTTCCAGTGTTAGTCTACGGGTTCCAGCGTTAGTCTACGGGTCCGGCGTTAGTCTACGGGTCCAGTGTTAGTCTACGGGTTCCAGCGTTAGTCTACGGGTCCAGCGTTAGCCTACGGGTCCAGCGTTAGTCTACGGGTCCAGCGTTAGTCTATGGGTTCCAGCGTTAGTCTACGGGTTCCAGCGTTAGTCTACGGGTTCCAGCGTTAGTCTACGGGTCCAGCATTAGTCTACGGGTCCAGCGTCAACCTACGGGTTCCAGCGTTAGTCTACGGGCTCCAGCGTTAGTCTACAGGTTCCAGCGTTAGTCTACGGGTTCCAGCGTTAGTCTATGGGTCCAGCGTCAACCTACGGGTTCCAGCGTTAGCCTACGGGTTCCAGCGTTAGTCTACGGGTCCGGCGTTAGTCTACGGGTTCCAGCGTTAGTCTACGAGTTCCAGCGTTAGTCTACGGGTTCCAGCGTTAGTCTACGAGTTCCAGCGTTAGTCTATGGGTTCCAGCGTTAGTCTACGGGTTCCAGCGTTAGTCTACGGGTTCCAGCGTTAGTCTACGAGTTCCAGCGTTAGTCTACGGGTTCCAGCGTTAGTCTACGGGTCCAGCGTTAGCCTACGGGTTCCAGCGTTAGTCTACGGGTTCCAGTGTTAGTCTACGGGTTCCAGCGTTAGCCTACGGGTCCAGTGTTAGTCTATGGGTTCCAGCGTTAGTCTACGGGTCCAGCGTTAGTCTACGGGTTCCAGTGTTAGTCTACGGGTTCCAGCGTTAGTCTATGGGTTCCAGCGTTAGCCTACGGGTCCAGCGTTAGCCTACGGGTCCAGCGTTAGCCTACGGCAGGGGTCGGGAACCTATGGCTCGCGAGCCAGATGTGGCTCTTTTGATGATTGCATATGGCTCGCAGATAAAACAAAATATTCTCACTTGTTTTAATCCATCCATCGATTTTTCACTGCGCATGTCCTGTTCAGGGCTGCAGGAGCAATTGTCCATTATTTTAATTGGATGATACTGGCCTACGTTTGCCGTTGCTGGGTAAAACAGGTAAACGCCCCCTTTTGAATCAGTCTGAGACTGCGTCTGCTCGGTCATTAGCTCAAAGCTAACCCTTCGACGAAGAAGATGGCGAAAAGAAAAAAAGACGACGAGTATCGTACATTTCAGGACGAATGGACCGAAGAATTCGCCTTTGTGGAGAGAGCGGGTTCTGCGGTGTGTCTAATTTGCAATGACAAAATTACACCGTTGAAACGGTCGAATGTAAAGCGGCACTTCGACACGCGCCACGCTACCTTTGCATCAAAATACCCTGTGGGAGACAGCAGAAAGAAAGCGTGCCAAGAGCTTCTGAGCAGGGTGCAAGCTAGCCAGCAGCAACTCCGCGTATGGACCCGGCAAGGTGACTATAATTCGGCTAGCTTTGCTGGTTCTTTAGCAATAGTGAGGAACGGAAAACCATTCACAGATGGCGAGTATGCTAAAACGTTCATGCTGGATGTAGCCAATGAACTTTTTGATGATCTTCCGAACAAAGACAAGATAATCAAACGGATACAAGACATGCCTCTGTCGGCAAGAACTGTTCATGATCGTACCATCGTGATGGCAAACAAAGTGGAGGAAACGCAAGTGAAGGACATAAATGCAGCGCCGTTCTTTTCTCTGGCTTTGGATGAGTCAACAGACGTGAGCCATTTGTCGCAGTTCAGCGTGATTGCAAGATATGCTGTTGGTGACACACTGCGCGAAGAAAGTCTTGCTGTTCTGCCATTAAAAGGGTCCATAAGAGGTGAGGATTTATTCAAGTCTTTCATGGAGTTTGCTCAAGAAAAAAGTCTACCTATGGATAAACTTCTCTCAGTGTGTACTGATGGTGCTCC